GGAAGGAATGCAACCCATTTCCAATGCTTGTCTTCTGTTTCTCCCTTTTGCATAATTTTCAACCTAAAAATCCAAAAACAAGTAAAATAAGCAAGTCTACAAACTGAAGTTGTATTCAGGAACTTGCTGCTTCAATGATCTCAGGCAACCATCACTTTGTGTGTTGGCCATGGATCCCCTTCTCTACATTCTAACATCATATGGACTAACTGCACAGAGTTCTCCTACTTCTACATCTTTTATGTTGTGCATGTTTTTTACTGCATGAGGAAAAACTTTAGGCTGGCACCGTGGTACGGTAGGCTAGGCTTCTGCCCCGAGGCTGGCATCCTATATGGATGCTGGGTTTGAGTCCTAACTGTTCCACTTTCCATCCAGCTCCCTGCTTATAGCCTGGGAAAGCAGCAGAGGATGGCTCAAGACCTTGGGACCCGGTACCCATGTGGGAGACCCAGATGAAGCTCTTGGTTCATGGCTTCAGATCAGCTCAGTTCCAGGACTTGGGTCATTTAGGGAGTCAATCAGTGGATACAAGATCTTCCTGTTTCTCTGTGCATGTGTGTCTCTCTCTCCTCTCTGTAATTCTTTCAAATAAATATAAATCTTTAAAAAAAAAGGAAGAACAGCATTGTCTGATTTCTTATACATATAGATTCAAGGACAGCTGTCCTTACCCATGATTCTGCTATAACTAGAGATATGAAAAGATCTGTGAGTCTGAGTCTATAATTAACTTAAGTATAGGAATTTGAATGACCTTTGGGGAGGTAGGGAACAGAAAACAAACCAAAAAAAAAAAAAAAAAAAAAGCCAGCCTGTTCCTCCCTCCCACTAAATATTTTCCAGCCAAATGGGAAAGTTTGGCACAGTCTGTCTGGTAATACCAGGCAAACAGAGCCTCACTGTGGCTATGATGTATTTTTAGAGCTTCAACTGTTTTTATTAGGTTCACACAGTGGAATAACAAGAAGTAATAGTTTCATGGTGAATGTGATAGCTGCAATATAAAGAGGCCAAAGTATGACAATGTTATCAATTAAAATAAACGTGAATTACCAACTCTATAAATTATATAGAACTTAAAAAATGACTGTCCCTATCTCACTTAAGCCAAACTATCTAAACGCAGGAAACGTGAATGTGAACAGACAGCAATCTATTTATCCCCATTAGAGAGGCCAGGGAAAGCTGCTGACTTGCACTGCCACCTAACACAAAGTTGGCCAATCAGAGTCTAGCATTTCCAGTGACAATCACAGCGTAGCACTTCTCTATTAGGGTAACATTCTCTGGGGGTGAAGGAATGGAGGAGGCAGGTTCTTGTAAGGACCACCCAGATTCCTTAAAGAAAACACTCATTTCTTGTTACCACAAGGAAACAAACGATTCATTCATTACAGCATACTGAGTGCTCATCATGTGCCATACACACTGTGCTAAGTATGGCCTTGGGGCCTACCCTCAGAGAATTCAGTTTGAAGGAGAAAAAAAAAAAAAAAGAAGAAGAAGACTGAACAGTTACAAAACTTGTGAACACAGTAGTTCTCCATGGCCAGTTCTGCCTTTCAGTAGACATTATTCAGAAATGTCTGAAGATATTTTTGGTTGAGGAAGTACTACCAGGATCTGATGGGTAGAGGCCAGGGATGCTGGTGAAGCCCACCACCTATAACGTTAGCCCACCAGCATTCCATGTGGGTGAGGCTCAAGTCCTGGCTGCTACACTTTCAATCTACTCCCTGCTAATGGCCTGGGAAAAGCATTGGATGACAGCACAAAGTGGAGACCAAGAAGAGGCTCCTGGCTCCTAGCTTCGATCTGGCCCAGCCCCAGCCACTGCAGCCATCTGGAGAGCGAGCCGGGGATCTCTTTCTCGCTCTAAAAACAAATAATTAAATCTTTAAATACTCTGCAATGTACAAGCCAGTTCCACAAGAATTACCTGGCTCAAAACATCAAGCATGAGATCTCAAACTCCTATTCTAGGGGCTACCTACAACACCAGCATCCTATATGGTTCCCATTTATTTCCCTGCCAATTGCCTGGGCAAAGCAGCAGAAATGGCCCAACTCCTTGGACCCCCTCCACCCATACGCAGGAGCCCCAGAGGAAGATTCTGCCTTCAGCCCTGGCTATTGATGCCTTCTGAGGAGTGAATAAGCAGATGAAGATGTCTCCCTCTTTATCTCTAAATTAACCTTAATTAAAAAAAAAAGCGCTATTCTAAATAAGGAGACATAAGGAACAAGTAAGGAAAACTGGAAATATTCAGGGTCCAAGTAAAATGCTAGGATAATTAACTAAATTAGAAAGGCAGCCTGTATCGCATCCAGTGAAAAGTAAACTAAGGTTCTAACTGTGGGGAATTCTTTAAGTTGGAAAAAGCAGGTTAGACTCGATTCTTTAAGGTAATGAGATGAAAACAGCTCTTCTCAAACAGCTTTAGTCTAGTTGTGCTAGAGAAGTTGAAAGCATAAATACGAAAGTCAGGTTGGTGGAAAATAAAGCAATGGTGGCATTTCAAAGGAATATTCACTAGGACTGGGTAAAGCATAGCTTAAAAATCCCCAGATTCCAAATCTCAGTATTAAATTGCAAACCAGAAGGTTCAATTTTCAAAGATACTTTGCATTTGCTTGTTTAAACAAAATGAACTGGACGCAACATGCTTCAAAGAAAGGAGGAAGTCACTTATTAAAGGTTCAGTCCTGCTTGAAAAAAATAACTGCAACTAAACAAATGTATATAGACCCAAGAAACGAGGTGAGAGAAAAGATCACTCCCCAGGTTGGAAGCAAAACATTTTAGAAATAGCTCAATAGCCAACCTCCTTGAAGCAAAAACACACTCACTGAATCTCAACACCACCACCATTTCTGGCAGGCTGCGGTTTACAAAACATTTTTCACTGCTGCTGCTTTATTTAAACCCCTCTAAGACATCAGCTATGTCCATCTGATGGAGTGTTTCCAGCAAAAACAGGAGATTCCTACAAAAATTTCTATATGCTGAGCCACTGCAACTCAATTAGCAAACCCCACGGCCACAACATTGAATCCAAGCGCATTCAAGCACCCAGCAGATCCCCTTCTTTTTCTTTCTGCTTAAGTCTGGGCCTCGGGTACTTTGCTGAAATATAGTCATTCTGCTCCCACATCCGGCTCTCCCTGGGACACCTTTTTAAAAACTGTTGTCTGGATGTGCTACAGTAAGCACTTCAAACTGAAACTGTCCACAATTCTGTTTCTGTCTGTGTCACTCCCTGCTTGATCTCTTCCATTCCCTATCTGAATGGCATCACCCAGTTCCCTAAGTCAGAAAATCAGGCAATCATTCAATTACTCCAACTGCACAAATTCCATTTTCATACTGCTGAGATCTGATCATTTGCCCTTCTCCCCACTGCCCCTCCCTGGGGTCAGCTCATCACTACAGCAGGACAAAAAGCTCATTCACTTCCCCTACAGGGTCTGATCCCTTTCCTCTTGACGACTAACATTCAAAAACATAAATCCAGTTGTACCATTTTCCTACATAAAATCCTTTTAGGGCACCCCCATAGCTCTCGGTGTACAATCCCAACTCCTTAGCATGCCTCCGAGTTCCTCCATATTTGACCTCACCACAGCTCATTCCCTCCACTTCTCTAAGCATTACTGGGGTTCCAGTTGAACTGAACTAAGTTGGGTCCTTGCACCTGCAGTCTTCTCTGCCTGGGAATCCCTTTTCTAGATTCATCCTACGGGTAAGTAACTCTAAAGATGCGACCGCCTTCCTCCCCCAGGATACCTGGGTTCTGGGTCCTCTCATGGTGCTGGGCTCACACAGTGCATGCTAACAGTGTAAGCCATCCATCATACACTTGTCTGCTCCTCGCTCCCTCCTCATCATCCAAAGAATACTGCGCTCCTAGCCACTGGGGCTAAATACCGCATCTGTGCTGTGCTGCCCCCGGATTTTCTCTTGGAGACTCCTGCAGAGTCTTTTTCTCATTCACCCTTTGAAAGGCATCTTAAACTCTCCCAAAAGGAGAGCCCTTGGTCACACATCCTTTCACAGCACCCTCTTCTTTCTAACTCCGTAATGACTTCAGCGTTTCTGCCAACCCTGTCAGCTCCTTGCAGGTAGGGTCTTGGCTTCTGATTTTACAGTTGCATCCCTTGGAAGGGGCAGAATGCCAGCACAGAATCAACACAATTTGTAGCCTTGAATGTATCCCTGTGAGGGGAACCAGAGACATCCGTCTAAAACATGAGCAAGATACCTAGCAGTGGGGCCAGACCCAAACCCAGCCATCTCACTTTGCTCCGGGACATACAAAGCACCTCCAATAAAGTTGGAGGAGCTTTGCGGAGCAAGAGCAAGCAGACTAGGAGGAGGGGGAAGCCATCTGATTGCAAATACAGAATTTGCTCAACTCACTTTGAAAAATTCCCTAGGCATCCGCAACCGTTGAATTAAAAAAAAAAGTTCCACACAGCGGGCGGCCTTTAACCTGCAGCTGCCGAGCCCAGAAGATGACCCCCCAAGTTAAAGAGACTCCAAGGGAAGCAGCGTGGGAAGAATCCGGGCTTGGATATGGGGTCCTGACTCCGGTTCTTTTTCTCACTCACTGTATGATTTTCGGTTTTTCTCACCGGGGATTCATTTATTCATCTTTTCAATGGAAAACGAAAATGGTAACAGGGAAGGCGCTTAAGACCCTGTAGGTTCCTTTCAGCTAGGACACAGGCCATCAGGCCTCCGCCGAAGCAGAGCGGCAGCGCCGTGAAATCGAGCGAAGGGACGTCCCGACCCCGGGACAGCCAGGCTCAGCCGGTCACTCCCGCCCCACCTCAGGAGACCGCACCCAGGAGTCCGATTGGCCCGAGGGCCTCTTTCCGCGACCCCCTCCGCAGGGGTCCGCTACAGGCACCGCCGCCAGAAAGCCATTCACAACACCAGGACCCGATGGGCCCAAAAGGGCAGCCCTCGTCCCCACCCAGCAGCGGACCCTCACCTCCGGAGCGGTGCCTCACCTCGGTACTGCGATCAGCCGCTCTCCACTTCCGGCAAGAACCGCCCAGCAATCTCCGCGCGACCCACTTCCGGGCCCTCACTAGGCGCGGCGCCCCCACCGGAAATGAACGGCCAGCTGCAGCCCTAGGCCGGACCCGGACTCGGTGCTGGCGGGGTGGGAGGTGAAGGTCGGGTCCGCCGGCTCGTAGCTCCGCCCTCTCTCCCCTCGAGCCTCCAGGGGAGAACGCCGCTAGCGCTGGGGGCACTTGGAAAAGAGCCCCGCCCCCTGGGCGGAGGCCACCTGGAGAGGGCGTGGCCACATGCTGCGTCACACCCCCGACCTATCCCACTAGGCCCGCCCCCTGCGAGCCGAACCAATGGGGAGAGCGAGAACCGGAAAGGCTGCCAAAGAGTGGCTCGTTCTCTTGTCAGTTTGATCTCAATGAAAAAAGACCGGCTCCTTTTTACCGCGTGCTGAGAGGGTCTTGAAAGGACTGGAGGGCGGGAGTCTCTGAGGGCCGGACTGGAGGGCGGCCAGTCATCCCTGTTGGGGGATAGAGGTCGGGTTCCGCCGCCCCCTGGGCGTGCATAGAGCCGTTTCCTGGTTTGTGTGTCGTGGGGAGGCAGTGGGTGGGGACGGTGTTCGGTGAGGATTTGCGGAGGCTGGGCGAGAGGAAGGTGGTCGGTGAGGCGTGCTGGGGACCCAGCCCTGAGTGGCTGGGCGTGTCCGCCCCCTCCCACCTCGCCCTGCCTTGGCTGTGAAGGTGAAGGAAAAAAACCCTCCACTCTCGCCCACTTCCTGTTTGCTGGGCGCGCTCTGTGACCATAGATGGTCAGGTCTGGGTCCTCACAGAAGCCTCCGCCCCGCGCCTGTGGAATCCTTCCTCCAGTCACGCAGGGTGTGGTCCAAGAGCGAAACAAGCGGAATAGAGCAGATGCTGCCCTACTCTGCTAAAATCCCGCTTCTGGGGCGTCCTGGCTCCCGCGGTTACTCTGCTCCTGGGGGTTGTAGGCTCCGCGTCTTCACCGCTGCAGCTCACCAAGGGGACCGCTTCCTTGGTCTTGGATTCAGATCTTTGTTCCCTAGAGACTCGCTCTCCAACGGGTCATTATCCTCCCACAGTGATTTATTTCTAGAAGAAAATAGGCGAAGGCTACGTTTCCCACAGCTTCGCCTGAAAGCCCGAAAGCTCCGGGTTTCAAGTAGAATGCCAGAGTCACTCACTCAACAAAGATCTTAGAATAACAACTACCATTTACGGTGCACTGACTGCACACCAGGCCTGTGTCGCGGGCTTCAAGCACGTTTTCATTTCATCCTAATAGCAGCTCTCCGTGGTAGCTACCATTATGTCCTCTGCGGTTTTCAAATGAGGAAGCTGAATCATCTATCTACTAGGGTCACAAAGTAACTGTTGGAACTTGGGAGAAAACGCATCTGTCTCACCCCTAAGCCCCATGAGCTTAATTAACCCGATGTCCTAGACCACACTGGAATTGCTGGGTCCGTGAAGGCAACTGGGCCAGGAGACACTCAGGGCTCCAGTCAAACTGGTCGGCTTAACTTGGATGGATCACAGGACGTCTTTCCAATTTTGTATCTTCCAGTAAGTTTTCAAAAAATGACAACGTGACAAAAACTGGTATCCAAATTGTAATGTATTTTAAATATTTACACTTGGAGTCAGCGCTGTGGCATAGCACAGCTAATGAGGTCTGCATCCCAATGGACACCTGTTCCGGTCCCAGCTCCTCCACTTCTGCTCCAGCTCCCTGCCAATGGCCTGGGAAAGCAGAGGAAGACAGCTTAGGTGCTTGGGCCTCTGCACCCAAGTGGGAGTCATGGAAGAAGTTCCTGGCTCCTGGCTTTTGACTGGCCCAGCTTTGGCAGTTGTGGCCATTTTAGGAGTCAACCAGCAGATGTAAGAGCTCTTTCTGTCTCTCTCCCTCTGTAACTTCACTTTTCAAAGAAGGAAGTAAACTTTTTAAAAAGCAAGCATTCACACTTAACAAAAAAATCATCCCACATGCAAAAACATCCTAACCCTATTTGGGCACAACATCCCAAGGTTTAATTTACATGCTTCATGTGTGGGAAGCCCAGGGCATATGGTTCTCCTGGCTCTTTTAATCTTTGCCTCATCTCCTGTGAGTGCTGGTGCAAAGTCCAAGCAGCCGACCTTGCTAAGGCACGTGAGAGAATAGTAGAAGGTGACCCGTGTACTTGGGCCCTCACCATCCAAGTGAGGGACCCAGCATTCCAGGCTTCTGCCGCCGATTGGGGGATGAAGCAGATGCAAGATCTCTTCCTTCCCTTTATAACTGTGCCCTCCAAATAGGTAAGACAAAACTTTAAAAATATATATTTACATAATATACATTATATATAGAGTTTACATATGACTAAGTCACAATCTCTACCTTTAAGAAACTTCCAATCTTTGAAGGAGTCTAGACACATGCACTGTAATTCCAATGGGATATCATTTAAGAACAGCCAGTGTCACCTTTATCCATTTTTTATATTTGTATGCTGAAACTCATTGAGCTCTTCCTGTGTGCCTTGTGCTATGTTGTTTTGGACTGGGCACAACTTGAAACACAGAAGTGTAAATCAGACCCTGTCACTGCCCTCACAGAGCATACAGCCTGTTTTAGAAACAGGTTTGACCATCCAAGGTGGCCACCAGAAGACATGCTGACTTCTGACTTCCAAATTTTTCCTCCTCATTGGTCTTGCCTAATGGTCAGTACCCAGTGCCTCATCCATGATGAGCTGTCATCTGGCTTGTGTTCCCCAGAGTGCCACGAATTCAGAATGGTCATTTCCTGGGCTAAGATGGATGGGTGGAATATGGCAGAACAAGAATGAATAGACCTTTGTGGAGATGAGGCTCTGTGCCAGGCTAAATGAGAGATTCCTATATATATACATTAAAATAAAGGACTCAGGGATAAGGCTGAAAAAAAAATGGGCAAACTGCCAGGCAAGAGAGGTGAAAACTAAATGTGAAAGCACAGAAAAGTCTATTCCAATTTTAGAGATACAATTATAGCCACAGAGGCGAGCATGGGCTTATGTGGGAGGCAGGGAATTCTGTTAAGAGATAGATGCAAAGCTATGATGAGGATCTGAGTCAAAGCCGTGGTGTGGGAATGCAGCAGTGGGGGCAAAGCCAGACATCAGCTTTCGCTTTTTGTCTGTGTATTGTTTTTTTGAAAAGCAGAGAGACTAAAAAGCTTCATCCACTGGCTTATTCCCCCAAATGCCCACAAATAGCCAGGGCTAGACATAGCCCAAGTAAGAACCAGGAACTCAAGTTGGGTCTCCCCATTTGAGTCACAGGAGCTTAACTGCCTGTGCCACCACCTGCTGCCCCCCAAGAGTGTGCATCAGCAGGAAGCTAGAATCAAAAGTGGAAACAGGACTCAAACCTAAGCACTGGAATATCACCCTAGGTACAACAATATGGGATGTGGGCACAGACAGCTGTGGCTTAAACACTATTTGTGACTGTCAGTCTCTGCTTTCAAGAAAGCAAAGTAAATAAAAATGTAAAAGATAAGTTTATAAAAGTATTAAATGCTTGAAGATACAGATGTTATTTACTTTCCTTGGACATTACACAGTATATTTATATCAAAAAGATCTTCAAACAAAGATCTGGAACCAGTGCTGCTTGTAACACTGGCATCCCATGTGGGTGCCAATTCATATCCTGGCTGATCTACTTCTGACTCAGCTCTCATTTAATGGCCTAGGAAAGCAACAAGAGATGGCCTGCCACCCATAAGGGAAACCTGAATGAGGCTCCTGGCTCCTGGCTTCGACATGGCTCAGTCCTGATTGTTGTAGCCATCTGGGAAATGTACCAACAGATGAAAAATCTCTATTTCTCCCTCTCTGCCTGTAATTTTGACTTTCAAGTAAGTAAATACATTTTTAAAAGGTTTGTTTTGAACATGAGCCTTCAGATTGTATCTAAAACTCCCAAGGTTCTATAGTTTAAATATTTTTTTGGCCCCTCCAAAATTCAACTTGGGAGCTAATGTTGTAATGCAGCAGATCAAGTTGTCACTTATAATGCCAGCATCCCATTTTGAGCTCTATTCAAAATCTAGCTTCTCTGTTTTTGATCCAGCTCCTTGGTAATGTGCCCAAGGACCCTAATACTTGGACCCTTCTACCAACATGGGAGATGTGGAAGGAGTACTTGACTCCACACTTCAGCCTGGCCCAGCACTGACCATCATGGCCTTTGGGTAGTGAACCAATGGATTAAAGATCTCTTTCTTGCCTTCTGTCCCTCTCTATTTATCATTCTGCCTTTCAAGTTAATAAATCTTTTTTTAAAATTCACTCTGAGACTTACTTCCTAATACAATATTACTGGGAGGTTGGGCCTTGAGCAAGAAATTAGACCATGAGGGCAAAGTCAGTGCCATGAAGATAAATTGGAATTAGTGCTTTATACAGACGCTGAAGGACCTAAGTGGGCTCCCTTCTCCTTCTACCTTGCATCATGTGAGGATGCAGGAATAAAACAGCAGCTTAGAAGCAACTTGGAGGGTCTCACAAGACACTGCATCTGCCAGCCTTGATCTTAAACTTTTATAGAGCTTCCCATATTCTAGAAAACAAATTTATATTGTTTACAAATTATCTACTCTCAGGTATTATAGCAACAGGAATGGACGAAGACATCAGGTATACTCAGTCAATTAATACCATTTTTCTTTTTTTTTAATACCATTTTTTGTTCCTGGAAGATGTTTGTTTGCAAGATTAAATTATTGGGCTCAGTGTGGTAACAAAAGCATCTAACGTCCTCACCTTGCATGCGCTAGGATCCCATTTGGGTGCTGGTTCTAATCCCAGCAGCCCCACTTCCCATCCAGCTCCCTACTTGTGGCTTGGGAAAGCAGTCGAGGACAGGCCAAAGCCTTGGAATCCTGCACCTGCATGGGAGACCCAGAGGAGCTCCAGCCCTTGGGGCTGCTGGGGGAGTGAATCAGCAGATGGAAGATCTTCCTCTCTGTCTTTCCTTTTCTCTGTGTATCTGGCTTTCCAATAAAAACAAAATAAATCTTTAAAAAAAGGATTGAATTATTTATTTGAAAGAATAACAGAAAGAGAAAGAGCAAGACTGTCCATCTGCAGGTTACTCCCCAAATGCCTGCAACAGCCAAGGCTAGGCCAGGCCAAAGCAAGGAACCAGAAATTCCAGC